CAATAGAACACTAATCAAGACACTTCTTAAATTTTCTACTATTATTTAAGAGTACCAAGTTGTGGACTAAACCTCTCATACACGGGGGACCTCCCCCAATATGCTCGTCAGTCCTGGAGGACATTCCTGTTTACTAGCCCCAGATGTCTCAGGATCGATTTGCATATTCCTTTAGCCAGACCTGAAGTCAAGACCTAACCAAGGACAGTATGCATGTATGTATGTGTGTATTATGTATGTATGTATGTATGTATGCATGCATGCATGCATGTATGTATGTGTAAGTGTTTTCAGTTATTTCTGTATCCCTGGTTGGCCTGGAAGTCACTAGATAGACCAAACAACCTTGAATTTGCCATTTATCCTCCAGCCTCTGCCTCCCAAGGGCTAGGATTAAAGACTTGAGTCCCCATGCCCAGCTAGAGGATGGTGTTCTGGGAAGTAATAGCTGGTCACTGCTGTGCTGCTTCTTGTAGCTGAGTTCTTCTGTTCAGAGACTAGGGAAGCCTTGTCTGGCAAGCATCTTACTCTCCCTGGTAACACCAGTTCAAATCCACAATAGAGTTCTTCCGTCCCTAATCCCCCCCCCCCTCTCTCTCTTTCACACACACACACACACAGAAAGAGAGAGAGAGACACACACACAGACACACAGACACATACATATACATTATCAATAGCAAAATAGCAAGAGCTTCCTCTGTGACTATAAGCACTATTTTTTAAAAAGATTTATTTATTTTATTTATATGAGTACACAGTCACTGACTTCAGACACACCAGAAGAGGGCATCAGATCTCATTACAGATGGTTGTGAGTCACCATGTGGTTGCTGGGAATTGAACTCAGGACCTCTGGAAGAACAGTCAGCACTCTTAACCACTGAGCCATCTCTCCAGCCCCTAGACTATAAGCACTTTTAAGGTGATACATTTTAGTGGCTCTTCAAACCCATGACTTGTTTTTAAGGCAGGTTTAAGGCAGGTTCCACCTGCCTCAGCCTCCCGGAGCACTGAGATTAAAGGCATGCAACACTGCCACCTGGCTTTTTTTGTTCTTTTTAAAATCAACCTGGAGACCAGATTAACCTGGAACTCAGAGCTCTGCCTGCCTCTGCCCCCCAAGTCCTAGAACTGAAGTTGTGCACCGCTGTGCCTGACCTCAAGTCTTTCTCTTCCGTGTTGGTTCTTCTCCATTCTCGCCCCGTCCTTACAGAACTCTGTGCCCTGTGATTTTTACCTCCTTCCAGAATCTTTTATGAGTCAATTTATTCTCTGAAGGTTCTCTCCTTCTCTACCCCATTTGTTGTGCATGTGTGCATATGAGTGTCATTGTGTGAGACTATAAGTGTGTGTGTGTATGTGTGTGAGTGTGTAAGGGGTATATGTATGTGTCTTAGTCACTGTCCTATTGTTGTGAAGAGATACCGTGACCACAGCAACTCTATAAAAGAAAGCATTTAACTTGGAGGCTGGCTTACAGAGGGTTAGTCCATTATCATCATGGCAGGGACCATGGCAGCATTGGATGGTGCTGGAGCAGTAGCTGAGCATGGGCAGAGTATGAGAAAAGGAAGAAGAGAGAGAGAGAAGGGGAAAGGGAGAGAGGGCAGACAGACAGGCAGACAGACAGACAGAGAAGGAGAGGGAGAGTGAACAGAGCAAGAGCACCATATCCTGAACCACAGAGAGAGTGGGAGGAAGGGGGAAGAGAGAGAAAGGAGGGGGAGGGGAAGGGGGAGGGAGCAAGAGAGCAAGAGTGCCTGGACCTGGCATTGACTTTTAAAACCTCAAAGCCCACCCCCCCAGTGACACACTTCCTCTCACATGGCCACACCTCTTAACCTTTCAAATAGTTCCACTTTCTGTTGACTAAGCATTCAACTATATAAATTCTTATTAAAATCACCACAGTAAATGCAAATGTGTGTGTGTGTGTGTGTGTGACAGTGGTGGTCAGAGAACAATTCTTAGAAGCTAGTTCTCTTCTGACATCTTGTGACACCAGCTCATGTTGCTAGGCCTGCACACCAGCACCTCTGCCTGCTGAGCCAGCTTGCTGGCCCTCATTTGTTTGTTTGTTTGTTTTTCTCATAGACTCGAGGTCCTACTATGTTGATAGGCTTGCCTCAAGCTCTACAGCACAAGTGATTGTCCTGCCTCATCACCATGTGGTTGGTGGGAATTGAACTCAGAACCTCTGGAAAAGTAGTCAGTGCTCTTAACCACGGAGCCATCTCTCCAGCCTTGTTTGCTTACTCTTTTGTTTTAAAGATTTATTTATTTATTTTATGCATATGAGTACACCATTGCTCTCTTCAGACACACCAGAAGAGGGCATCAGACACTATTACAGATGGTTGTGAGCCACCGTGTGGTTGCTGGGAATTGAACTCAGGATCTCTGGATGAGCAGACCTTTAATCCCAGCAGTTGGGAGACAGAGGTGGGCAAATTTCTGCGAGTTTGAGGCCAGCTTGGTCTACATAACAAATGTAAGGCTAGCCAGAGCTAGCTAGCTACATAGTGAGATCCCATCTAAAATGAAACAGATAAATAAAACTAATTTATTTTGTATGAGAGGCACGTGGGTCACTGCAGCACGTGGAGGTCAGAGAAGAATTTCACAAGACGTTTCTCATCTTCTACCTTGTCTTGTTTCTGCCACACTGAGTACTCCAGGTTACCTTAGCTTGTAAGCTCCCTGGAGCTTTCCGTCTATCTGGAGATAGGGATGCTGGGATTAGAGGGAATGCTGGGATTAGAGGGAATTCTGGGATCAGAGGGAATGCTGGGATTAGAGATGTTGGCCACTGCAGGATTTCTAATTGTTTATGAGTTCCAAGGACAAACTCAAGCCATCCGGCTTACATGGCAAGTGCTTTGACCCACTGAGCCACTCCTCAGCCTTGAAATGTTTAATCTTGTCTTCTATATCTTGAAATACAATTATTTGGAAATTCATAGTTGGTGTGGTGGCTTATATTTATAAGTCTTGGCATTTAGGAGGTTGAGGCAGGAGAATTACAAGTATGAGGTTAGTTTGGGCTACATAGTGAGACAGAGAGAGAGACAGAGACATACATACTGAGACAGAGAGACAGAGACAGAGAGAGAGAGACAGGGAGACTGAGACAGAGAGAGAACCAAGTTATGACCTTTAGAACCAAGGGCCCTGTGGATCTTTTAAGAAGATTGTCTATACTCAATCCTGAGTTTCTTTTACTTTTGTTATGTTTCCTTGCTGTCTTGTTCATTTGCCACCCAGTATTGGAAAACATGTATAACAATTACTAAAAATAAAATTTCCAGGGGAAGGAGGTTGAGATAGGGTTTCTCTGTGTAGTCCTGGCTGTCCTGGAACTCACTCTGTAGACCAGGCTGGCCTTGAACTCAGAAATCCGCCTGCCTCTGCCTCCCAAGTGCTGGGATTAAAGGCGTGCGCCACCACTGCCCAGCACATTCAGAAGTCTTAAGTATAGCATTTGCATCGCATGGATGAGCTCAAATATGGACCAAAGACTCAACATTAGGAGGTTCGGGAGGTAAAGATGAGCGTTGAAGAAGCTGAGTGTAGAAAGGGCTTTTGGGGCTGGAGAGATGGCCCAGGGGTTAAGAGCACTGACTGCTCTTCCAGAGGTCCTGAGTTCAATTCCTAGCAACCACATGGTGGCTCACAACCATCTGTAATGGGATCTGATGTCCTCTTCTGGTGTGTCTGAAGAGAGCAACAGTGTACTCATAAAAGAAATAAACAAATCTTTAAAAAAAAAAAAAGGAAAAAAAGGTGGGAAGCAGCAATCGAAGGCTGCTGCTGAGCGGCCTCAAGCAGAGGTAACTTGTCTCTGATGGGAACATGTCGTCTCTTCCACCTGCCTTCCTTTGACGTTGTTGATGATGGTTTATTGCTAAGAATCTGTGCTTTTTAGTGCTGGAGAGATGGGCCAGCACGCACATCCTCTTGTAACTCCGGCTTCAGGGGCTCCAACGCCCTCTTCTGGCCTCCACACAGATCAGGTGCGCATGCGCACACATGCGCACACACGCGCACAGGCACACAAATCAGTCTTTTTAAAAAAACTGTACTTATGCCTGACTGTATATAGCTGTCTTGTTTTTGTTCATGCTTCTGGCTCCATTCCATTCCAGGATTACACGTGGAACGATGGGGTTCCCACCTATGCTAACATTTAAGCTAAGGAGCCCCAGTGAGGCCGAGTCCAGGATGGACTGGTTGGGTCACCGAGATAACGGAGTCAAGGGAAGATGTGGGGTCAGAGGTCCCACGGAGTTGCGGGAGGAGACTTAGGTCTGCCCTTGTGGGTCTTGAGTTCCTTCTGGTACCTGGCGGTTCAATGGTAATCCTAGAGGTGCCGAGGAGGGCCTCTGCGTGCGAAGAAAGGGGCGGTCCTTGGTGAGTGGCGCAGACTGTATTTCTGTCCCAGAAGCCACTGTGACATAGACCAGTCTCACCAACAATTTGAAATTAAAGGACTTGTCCCTTGGACAGATAAGGGGCAGATGTCCCCAAGAGCATAGGCATTGTCATGGGGCTTGGGGACAAAGAAAAAGGCATAAGACTGGACTAAGTACTGGACCTTAGTGCAGGATCCTGGGGTCACTCACTAAAGGCCAGCTTAGAGAGTGGAATCTCAGAATAAGTTACAGGGGCCCAGGTTTTCCCTGTTGCAATGTTCCAGTGTGGCTGGAACTCCAGGGGATAATGGCAGCAGAGTCATTTGTAAACTGGAAACCACCTTACCTATGCCACAGGGACGTGGAAATGCCACCATACTTTGTGATCTGTCAATTGTGATGGTGGACCAGTGGGTATCTGGATTTGAGGGGGCAGCTCAGTGTGTCTCCTCACCACCCTTGGGGTTTGGTGCCAACCGATAGATCATCAATCGGTGGCTGTTTCCCAGCAAGTGCCAGTCAGACGAGCCCAGGAATTGATGAGGTAGGGAAGCCAGATCTCTGATTCTGTGTCATGTCCCCTAGAGCCATCCTCCAGCAGCAGGGCTCACCTGTGGATGCCACCATCGCTGCCCTGATCTGTACTGGTGTTGTTAACCCTCAGAGCATGGGCCTGGGCGGAGGGGTTGTCTTCACCATCTACAATTCGTCAACAGGTGGGTCCTCACGGGTCCCCCGGGAAGATAGACTTCTGTCAATCATGGGGCATTCATTTCTTGCATGCATCTTCCCGGGTACCTTGGGACCCCTTTGGACTGTCTTTGTCTCTGTTGTGAGAAGCCTTGGTGGTAGGAAATGTTCCAAGGGTTAGCACAGATATAGAAACCAAGACCTAGAACAAACTGGGGCCATCTCTCACCCCATCTCAACTCCAGGGAAGGTGGAAGTTATCAATGCTCGGGAGACAGTGCCAGCCAGCTGTGACCAGGACCTGCTAAACCAGTGTAGAAACTCCCTGCCACTGGGCACAGGTAAGGCCTTGGGAAGGGTTCTTCCCCCACCCCCACCAACAGACTATTTTTATTGATTATTTGGGAATGTCATATCATGCACCCCAATCACACTTCCTGGTCCTCCTGTATCTGTGCCCCACCATCCCCCCACACCCCCTGCCTCAAAGAAGAAGGAGGAGGAGGAGGAGGAAGAGGAAGAGGAAAGAAAGAAAGAAAGAGACAAATCAAGTCCAATTTGTATTGGAAATGTACTCACTGGAGTAGAGTCAATATTTGGGAAGGGTTCGTCAGACAACCTAACTCATTCTGTTATGGGTTTGTCCAGAACAGCCCCTCTCCCCAAAGGATCAGTATGTCTCATGGACAGGCTATGAAACCCTCTGGGCATGGGGAGACTTGGACCCCCTGACCTTCTGGGGTGTGTTGGAAAGCTTATTTTGGGGGAAACTCTGAGTAAGGGGATGCCCCAAGGGGAAGACCCGTCTTGGGGATCCCAACGGATATGGATTGATGGAACAGGAATCCTGGGTCCAGTTTATTTGAGGGCAGAGTAGGCTCTTGGGTGGGAGTTGGGTAGCCTCCGTAGCCTCGGCTTGGTTCTGTCTGCTGTAACGATCAGTACCCGATGGCAGTCTTTCTATGTGGACTTTAAGATGTATTTATTTTATTTATATGAGTACACTGTAGCTGTCTTCAGCCACACCAGAAGAGGGTACCAAATCCCGTGGCTGTGAGACACCAGGTGGTTGCTGAGAATTGAACTCAGGACCTTTGGAAGAGCAGTCAGTGCTTCTTAACCGCTGATCGGTCTCTCCAGCCGCCCTGTGTGGACTTTATATGGAAGGCAATGGGGAGCCACAAGAGGTCGATGCCAGGGGCATTATGGTCAAGCATAGGCTCCAGAAGCCGGGAGGCCAAGCTGAGCTGAGAGCGTTGCACTGGGATAAGGAAAGGTGCATGTTATGCAGGGACCCAGTGGATCGGGGTTCCTGGGGAGCTCCGGGGCTATGCTGAGGCCCACCGCCGCCACGGCCGCCTGCCTTGGGCTCAGCTTTTCCGGCCCACCATCTCACTGCTCCGTGAGGGTTTCCGTGTGCCCTCTGTCCTCAGCCAGTTCCTCAACAGCAGCATCCTGTGGCCCGCCTTGAATTCCTCAACCCTGAGGTGAGCACTGTAGGGTAGTCCCTTCAAATCCATATCCCACCTGAGCTCAGCCACAGTCCAGGGGCGCCTCAGTCTTTCCACAGCGGGAGGGTTGAACCCTAAGGGGCCAAAGCCCTTTACAAGCCAGGATAGCCAATACTTTTCTGTCTCTAGTCAGAACCTAATTTGGGCTAAAGTTAGTTTACTCCTTCGGCGCTGGCTTCCTTCTGCTCGTCTTTGGGGATGGCAGATAGCCTTTCTTGCTCGGCTAGCTCAGGGATGGGTCCTCCCGGGAGGTCATGGAGTAAACCTGAGACCCCAGAACGGTTCCATAGGCAGGAGTGAGCACCAGTCCCACTTCTAGGCAACCAGTTCCCCCGTGCTTCAGTGCTAGGATCTTGGCTGTTTCCCCGAGAAGAATCCTGAAGATTTCTCTAGACCTCAGCAGGAATGTGAGTGTCTGCTGGGATCTGGTATCAGTCTGAGGTTGCCTCCTGCCCTCTCTTCCTGCTCCCCCCCCCCCTTAGACAGCTCTTCTTCAATGGGACAGAAACCTTGAGATCTCAGGACCCATTCCCTTGGCCTGCGCTGGCCAACACCCTGGAAACTGTGGCCACGGAGGGTGCAGAGGCCTTATACACGGGGAGGCTGGGCCACATGCTGGTGGAAGATATTGCCAAGCAAGGTTAGCTGAACTGATACTCCAATACCCAGCCCTGCTAGGGAAAGAGTCAAGTTCTGGGCTTCGGGGGTTAAAGTCATACCTTTCTTCCAGTACTACGGGGTGCTCCAGAGATTCAGGGGAGGTGAGGTACCCATGTAGTCCAGCCTAGTCGTTGCTAGCCTTAGGGGTCTCAGTGGTCAAAAATCTTGAGGGGCGGAGCTTTTGCACATCTGCCTGTAAAGAGGCTATGGGTGGCGGAGCTGACCATCAGTTTCCTCCTGTTTCCCACTTACCTTCACCTGCTCTCTGCCCACCCCATACCATTCTGCCCATCAACCCTCTAAGGCTACATCACTAGCAGGCAAGAGAAACTTCTTAACCTTGAGACACAACTCCTGATTGTTCTTTGGCAACCCCCATCTACACCTGGAGCTCTCACCATCTCTTTCCAGGAAGCCAGCTGACAGTTCAGGATTTGGCTGCCTTCCAGCCGGAAGTGGTGGAACCCCTGGAGATGCCCCTAGGAAACTATACCCTGTACTCGCCACCACCGCCTGCAGGGGGCGCTATTCTTAGCTTAATTCTCAACGTGCTGAAAGGTAAGACCTTCCCTAGCTTTTCCTTCTCTCCTCCAGCCCCACCCCTGAGAATCTGAGCTCTCAGCTCATCGCAGATTTTGGGGGGAACACATTAGCTTTCTATCACTATAACATATTGCCGGACACAGCTACTTATCAAGAAAAGTTTAGCTCAGCGGTAGAGTACTGAAGAGACATGGCTCTTTTATAACAGCTTTCTTGTGAGAACTACCAAAGAGTCTCATGTGAAGCACATTCCAATAGCAAACTCCTCCCAGTGGCCTATCGACTTCCTATTAAGTCTTATCTCTTAAAGGTCCAGCCACCTTTGAGTACTGATACTGTAGGGTTCAAGTCTCCAATCTCTGTAAATCCTTGAGGACACTCAGGACGGATAATACGATATCTAAGACTGTCCAGGACAGTGGTCAGGACGGTATATTTAGAGCTGGTCTCTGTCTCAGGAAGCAAGAGCTATATTGTACAGAAGGAAGTGGCGTCCTTTTCCTGTGACCCAGTCTCAGGGCACAGGAGCAGAAGGCTCTGCAGGTATCGCGCTACCTGTCAGGTGTGTACAACTGAAACCGCACAGAGAATCATAGCCTGCAGGGACTGCCTGAGGCTTCACAGTTCCGGAAGCTAGAAGACACACAGCAGGTTGCACGCAGGATGGATTCCCTCTAGGGTCTCCTGAGGAGAATCTGCTGGCTTTCCTTGCCTTTGGCTGCATTAGTCTAGACTCCGCCCCTGTCAGTACAGCACAAAGCCGTACACATACTACATGCTTGCCTATGGCTGCCCTTGTGAAAACGTTTATATAAATTAGGGGCAGTAAGACACCCACAGCGGCCTTCTTGCCTACGGGGAGCAAGCACTATGGTTTCTCTTCAGCATATGTAAACGGCCAGCATTGCTGCTGTTGGTCAGCTTTTCGATGCTATCACAAATACCTGTGATAAAACCTGCTTATAAAGAGAAACTTTATTTTGTCACATGGGGTTTAGAGGTGTTGTAGAAATATTTCATCTCAAACAGGGCTTCTACTCGCCTTTGATCATTCGGTTCCTAGATAAAAGACACACAATCTTTATATTTAACTTTTTTTGCTGTTTCTTTTTTTATTATTTTTTATTTTATATGTTTATCTTTTATTGGATATTTTATTTATTTACAATACAGATGTCATCCCCTTTCCCCATTTCCCCTCCCTAGAACCCCCATCCCATCCCCCCTCCTTTTTCAATCTTTATATTTACAATAAGCCTTAAACAGCACGAGAGCTAGGCAGATGTTTACCCTCTAAGCTACTAGAGTCTGTGTCCCCATCCTGAACCCCGTTTTATAACCTGCCATGTTCAATCTGGGCAGCTCTTAACTCCAATTGGCCAGCCCTCATGGCCATATTTTTATGACTCACCTAACTCATGGTGGCTTCCTTCTCTCTCCATCTTCTTCCCCCTCATGGTCCTCCTCTGACCCCAAGCCTAGAAGCCCAAGTCCCACCTATCTCAATTTTGCCTAACTATAGGTTGTAGGCACCTTTATTCACCAATCAGGGATAACTTGTGGGGGCAAGGTTACAAAGTATCACTTGGGTCTACTTGCAGAGTCTCCTCTTTGGGGGCGACCAGGCCTTGGGGCCAGTATTTAGCATTACAATATATAGCAAAAGACCAAGCTTAAATATAGAGGCTTCTGTCTGGGTTTGGTTGGCTCCATTGCTTTGGGTCTATGGTGAGGTGGTACATCGTGGCAGAGGCTTGCAATAAAGCAAGAAGCTCAAGGCTTCTGGGATGTGAGGAAGAGGAAAGGAGAGAAGAAAATATAAGCCCCACTGAGCACATGACCTGAACCATCCTACAGGTCCTACCTTGTAGAGTTTCCATCACTGCCCAGTAGGTCAAGCTCAGAACCAAGCCTGCAAGTGTGCACTAGGGCCAAATGTCACCTTGACTTCAATATGGTGACAGTTGATCTGATCATGTAAGGCCTGAGAGCTCAGTGGTAGAATTCATGGCTAGCATGTGTCATGTTCTGGGTACCAGTCTCAGTGCCGTGTGTGGTGTGTGTGTTATTATTATTAATAAGTAATTAATAAGCAGGCAGCAGAAACAGTATAGATACATTAGACAACGGATTGATTTACATCCTTGGCTTAATGAAGCAAGGTAGTGCAAGACTTAATTGTGTCACTCAGAACGACACTTAAAACTTATGGATTGTTATGAAACTTTCCACTTAATATTCTCCAACTATGACTGACTGCAGGTAAGCCAAATTGTGGGATGTCAGACCATAGGCAAGAGGGGACATCTCTTCTGTGTGGGTCTGACTTATATATGGCATAGTGGCTCATGCCTTTAATACCGGTACTCAGGAGGCAGTGACAGACAGAACTCTGAGTTTGGACCTGTGGCTGTTTGTATTATGTTAGTTTGGGCTCTCAAAATTGTTTGTATGGGAGTTTGTATGTTTGTATGCAAGATATTAAGGGACTCTGTCCCCAGTTGGGTTTGATTGGTAAATAAAGATGTCACCAGCCAATGGCTGGGCAGGGCAGACAGAGGCGGGATCTTGGGAGTTGACTGGGCTTGGGACAGAGAGAAAAAGGAGGTCTGTCATGCCAAGAGAAGGAGAAGAAAGACTTCATGTCTGAGAAGGTGTGGGACAAAGAGCATAGCCACCATATAGGAGCTGGGGCAGAGTGGCCCAAGATTGCTGTCCAACTGGGTCCAGGGCAGCAAGGATGAAATATGGAATTTAATAAATAATAATTTGGGAATATCAGAGGATCGTGGATTAGCCACATGGAGGTGAGAAAATGGCCTTGCCATTGCTTTTAGACACATTAAGATAGAAAATATCTATATACCTATCTATCTATATATCTATATATCTTTCATTCAAGAACCCAGAACATTGGTGTGGGTAACATGGAAGCTAACACCGCCACTGCCACCAAAATTTATTTAATTAATCATTACTGCATGGATCTCTGAGTTTGAGGCTAGCCTGGTCTACAGAGCGAGTTTCAGGACAGCCAGGGCTACACAGAGAAACCCTGTCTCGAGAAAAAATACTCAAAAAACCAAAAACCAAAAGACACCTGATTCCAGTTAGGGCTAACCTACATAAACTTCACAATGCAGGGTAAATACCTCCTCTCGCCGGGTGGTGGTGGCGCACGCCTTTAATCCCAGCACTTGGGAGGCAGAGGCAGGCGGATTTCTGAGTTCGAGGCCAGCCTGGTCTACAGAATGAGTCCCAGGACAGCCAGGACTACACAGAGAAACCCTGTCTTGAAAAAACAAAAAACAACAACAAAAAACAAACAAACAAAAAACCAAAAAAACAAAACAAAACAAGACAAAAAAACCTCCTCTCAAAATCCTCAACATATGTTGCCATATTAATTCTTGTGCTATATAAATCCATATTTATGGATTCTGGGAATAAAAAAATGAGTAAATCTTTTGGGGGTCCAATATTCACCCCAGTATACAAAGAACCCTCAGCACCCCTCTACCTCCGCAGGGTTCAACTTCTCTGCAGAGACGGTGGCCCGGCTTGAAGGGAAAGTGAACATGTACCATTACCTCGTAGAGACTCTCAAGTTTGCCGTAGGGCAGAAGGGCCGGCTATGGGACCCTTCCAGTTACCCAGGGATACAGGTAAGACTCCCGGGAACTGATGGGGTCCTCTCCCTTTCCCTAGAATACAGAATGAAGGGAGGGCCAGGACTGGTGTAGGGAAGGTGTAGGAATTCTTTGTAGTTCTAGGTAGGGATATCCTGGCAATGGTTCCAAGGTGGTAGAATACGCAGATAGGATCTAGGCTTCACACAGGCCAAAGGAGGGCCTTTCTAAGATAGACTGCAGCAGCAGGGAATGAACTCATCCTGCCCTCTGCTCTGAGGACCATCTCTGACCCCTGGCTCCTCACCGACTCACTGAACGGCTCACCCCAGAACATCTCCCAGGACTTTCTCCGGGAGGATCTAGCCCAGCGCATCCGCCAGCAGATCGAGGGCCGTGGTGACCACCACCGACTCAGCCGTTACAATCTGTCCCGGGTCAAGGGCAACAAGATGGGCACCTCTCATGTGTCTGTGTTGGGAGAAGACGGCAGTGCTGTGGCAGCTACCAGCACCATCAACACACCGTGTGTGGGACCTGGGGACCTGGGGGTGGCGTGTGTGTGTGTGTGTGTGTGTGTGTGTGTGTGTGTGCTGGGGGCGGGGCAGCCAGGGCTCAGAGGTGGGCAGGGGAGGGGCGGGGCAGCCAGGGCTCAGGAGCTGGTGGGCAGGCTCTCTCCTTTGCTCCTGACACTGCAGACTCCATTGTCGGAGTTTGGTCTATACCCACTGATCCCTCTTGCTAATCTCTAAGCAGGCAGCCTCTTGCCTCCCTTCTATATTTCTGTCACCAGAGACATCCCTTGCTGAGGAAAGCTATTGCTAGATGGCCCTGAGCCAGGTCCCTGTATGGCATGAGCCTTACTTAGAAAGAAAGAAAGAAAGAAAGAAAGAAAGAAAGAAAGAAAGAAAGA